CACACACCCCACACACAGACACACACACACACACAGACACACACACACAGACACACACACACACACACACACACACACACACACACATACACAGACACACACACACACACACACACACACACACACACACACACACACACACACACACACACACACACAGCACACACACACACACACACACACACACAGACACACACACACACACACACACACACACACACACACACACACATACACACAGACACACACAGACACACACACACACACAGACACACACACACACACACACACACACACACACAGACACACACACACACACACACACACACACACACACACACACACACACAGACACACACACACACACAGACACACACACACACACACACACACACACACACACAGACACACACACACACACACACACACACACACACACACACACACACACACACACACACACACACACACACACACACACACACACACACACACACACACACACATACACACACACACACACACACACACACACACACACACACACACTGGGTTGAGGTGGTTTCTAACTTACTATTAGTCATTTATATGTAGTTTTAAATAATTTTAGTGTTATTAGTTAGTCGTCTTTGAGGAATTAATTAAGGTGAAATTTTATTAAACGGTTAATACATATAATTAATGCATGCAGGTGATGAAAGAAAATAATTGTTAATTAAACACTAGATTAATATTTGATAAATTAAATATTTGAACATAAATTTAGATAAATGACATATTTGATAAAACTTATTATTGATTGATATCAGTAATTATATTCGTTTTGTTTTATTGTCCTAAAAAAATTAATTAATGATGTTATTTAATTAAACATATCTACATAACATTACTGTTTACTTAACAACAGCACGTTAGGTTACCATAATGAAGAGATATTTAAGTTTTTGATTATGTTGTATATTGTAATAAAAGAAACACTATAAGAACAATAACAGAGGATTCGGATGCTTCAAAGAGATAAAGAGAGAGAAACAAGACAGAGATAAGGAGAGAAACAAGAGACAGAGATAAGGGAGAGAAACAAGAGACAGAGAGATAAGGAGAGAAACAAGAGACAGAGATAAGGAGAAAAAGAGACAGAGATAAGGAGAGAAACAAAAGAAGCAGAGATAAGGAGAGAAACAAAGAGACAGATATAAGGGAGAGAAACAAGAGACAGAGATAAGGAGAGAAACTAGAGACAGAGATAAGGAGAAGACTCAGGAGACAGAGATAAGGAGAGAAACAAGAGACAGAGATAAGGAAGAAAGAAAGAGACAGAGATAAGGAGAGAAACAAGAGACAGAGATAAGGAGAGAGAAACAAGAGAACAGAGATAAGAGGAGAGAAACAAAGAGCAGATATAAAAGAGAGAAAAAGAGACAGAGATAAGGAGAGAAACAAAGAGACAGAGATAATGAGAGAAACAAGACACAGAGATAAGGAAAAAAAACAAGAGACAGAGATAAGGAGAGAGAAACAAAGAGACATAGATAAGGAGAGAAACAAAGAGACATAGATAAGGAGAAAACAAAAGAGACAGGAGATAAAAAAGAGAAGCAAGAGACAGAGATAAAAGAAACAAGACACTGAGATAAGAAAAAAACAAAGAGACAGAGATAAGGAAAAACACAGGGGAGAGATAAGGAGAGATGCAAGAAAGAGATAAAAGAGAAACAAAGACACAGCGATGGGGAAAAAAAACAAGAGACAGAGATAAGGAGAGAGAAGGAGAGACAGAGATAAGGGAGAAAACAAAGAAGACATAGATAAGGGAGAGAAACAAGAGACAGAGATAAAAGAAACAAGAGACAGAGATAAAAGAGAAACAAAGACCAGAGATAAGGAGAAAAAACAAAGAGAGAGCAGAGATAAGGAGAAAAAACAAGGAGACAGAGATAAGGAGAGATACAAGAGAAAAGAGATAAAAAGAGAAATAAGACACAGCGATAAGGAAAAAAACAGAGACAGAGATAAGGAGAGAAACAAGAGACAGATAAGGGGGAAAGGAAACAAAGACAGAGATAAGGAGAGAGAAACAAAGAGACAGAGATAGGGAGAGAAAAAAAGAGACAGAGAGTAAGGAGAGAGACAAAAGGACAGGATAAGGAGAGAAACAAGAGAGACAGAGATAAAGAGAGAGGAAGCAAGAGACAGAGATAAAGAGAAACAAGAGACAGAGATAAGGGGAGAGAGAAACAAGAAAGATAAAAAAAGAGAAACAAGAGACAGAGATAAGGAGAGAGAAACAAAGAGACAGACATGGAGAAAGAAGAGACAGAGATAAGGAGAGGAAACAAAGAGACAGAGATGAGGAAAGAAACAAAGACAGAGATAAGGAGAGATACAAGAGAGAGAGAGATAAAAAGAGAAACAAACAGATAAGGGAAAAAAACAAGAGACAGAGATAAGGAGAGAAACAAAGACAGATAAGGAAAGAAACAAAAGACAGAGATAAGGAGGTGGAACCAGAGATAAGGAGAAAAAGAGACAGAGATAAGAGAAACAAAAAGAGACAGAGATAAGAGAGAGAAACAAGAGACAGAGATAAAAGAGAGAGAAACAAGAGACAGAGATAAAGAGAGAAACAAAGAGACAGAGATAAGGAGAGAAACAAGAGACAGATAAGGAGAGGAAACAAAAAGACTGAGATAAGGAGAGAAACAAGAGACAGAGATAAGGAGAGAAGAAACAAAGAGACAGAGAAAACAAGAGGCAGAGATGGAGGAGAGAAACAAGAGACAGACATAAGGAGAGAAACAAGAGACAGAGATTGGGAAGCAAGGAGACAGAGGATAAGGAGAGAAACAAAGAGACAGAGATAAGGAGAGGGAAACAAGAGACAGAGATAAGGGAAGCAAGAGACAGAGATGGGAGAGAAACAAGGGCAGAAATGGAGAGAAACAGAGACAGAGATAAGGAGAGAAACAGAGACAGAGAGATGAGGAGAGAAACAAGAGACAGAGATAAGGAGAGAAACAGAGACAGAGATAAGGAGAGAAACAAAGAGACAGAGATAAGGAGAGAAACAAGAGACAGAGAGATAAGGAGAAGCAAGAGACAGAGATAAAGAGAGAAACAAAAGACAGAGATAAGAGAGAAACAAAGAGACAGATATAAAGAGAGAAACAAAAGAGACAGAAAAGAGGAAACAAGAGACAGAGATAATGAGAGAAACAAGACACAGAGATAAGGAAAAAAATACAAGAGACAGAGATAAGGGAAAGCAGAGACATAGATAAGGAGAGAAACAGAGACAGAGATAAAAGAAACAAGAGACAGAGATAGAGGGGAGAGAAACAAGAGACATAGATAAGAGAGAGAAACAAGAGACAGAGATAAAAAAGAGAAACAAAGAGACAGAGATAAAAAGAGAAACAAGACACAGAATAAAGGAAAAAACAAGAAGACAGAGATAAGGAGAGAAACAAGAGACAGATAAGGAAAGGAAACAAAAGACAGAGATAAGGAGAGAAACAAGAAGACAGAGATAAAGAGAAACAAGAGACAGAGATGAAAGAAAACAAAGACAGAGATAAGGAGAGAAACAAAGAGACAGATAAGGAAAACAAAAAGGCAGAGATAAGGAGAGAGAAACAAGAGACAGAGATAAGGAGAAAACAAAGAGAGAGGGAGAGAAACAAGGAACAGATGGAGAGAAACAAAAAAGACAGAGATAAGGAGAGAAAGCAGAGAGACAAGAGATAAAGAGAGAAACGAAATGGTAAAAGAGAAACAAGAGACAGAGATAAGGAGAGAAACAAGAGACGAATGGGAGAGAAACAAAAGACAGATATGAGAGAGAAACAGAGCAGAGATAAGGAGAGAAACAAGAGACAGAGATAAGGAGAGAAGCAAAGAGACAGATAAGGAGAGAAACAAAGAGACAGAGATAAGGAGAGAGAAACAAAGAGACAGAGATAAGGAGAGAAACAAAGAGACAGAGATAAGGAAGAAACAAGACAGAGATAAGGAGAGAAACAAGAGACAGAGATAAGGGGAGAAGCAAAGAGACAGAGATAAGGAGAGAAACAAAAAGAGACAGAGATAAGGAGAGAAACGAAGACAGATAAGGAATAAAAGGCAGAGATAAGGAGGAGAAAACAAAGAGACAGAGATAAGGAGAGAGGAAACAAGAGAGACAGAGATAAGGAGAGAAACAAGAGACAGATGGGGAGAGGAAACAAAAGACAGAGATAAGGAGAGAGAAAACAAGAGACAGAGATATGGAGAGAAACAAGAGACAGAGATAAGGAGAAACCAAGGAGACAGAATGGGGAGAAACAAGAGAGACAGAGATAAAGAGAGAAACAAACAGAGGAAATAGGAGAATTGTACCCTCATGTAGACAATACCAAAAGAGACATAGAGACACTTTCATACTAAGAGATACACATGAGAACACGTTCATACTGAGAGATACACATAAGAGACACGTTCTGACCGTCGTAGGCTATCCGATGGAGAGTTTCTGGAGACCCCGAGCAGGAGAACCTTGGTGTGGACCCTGATTTCCTCGACTGGCTCTCGCTTCGTAATGCACTGGGTAACCAGCCGGAGGAACACCTTCTTGAAGCCCTGGCGGAACCTGTGTGGGGGGAAGCTGAGAGAGACAAGGTAGGTCACACACGTAGAGTAAATGGGAGGACAGATCTGCTGGCAAGGGTGTGGAGATGAGGGTCTGCTGGCAAGGGTGTAACAGAGGTGAGGTCTGCTGGCAAGAGTGTAACAGAGGAGGTGAGGTCTGCTGGGTTGGGTGTAGCAGAGAGGTGAGGTCTGCTGGGTTGGGTGTAGTAGAGGAGGTGAGGTCTGCTGGCAAGGGTGTAGCAGAGGTGAGGTCTGCTGGCAAGGTGTAACAGAGGAGGTGAGGTCTGCTGGCAACAGTGTAACAGAGGAGGTGAGGTCTGCTGAGGATGTAACAGGAGGTGAGGTCTGCTGGCAAAGGTGTAGCAGAGGAGTGAGGTCTGCTGGGTTGGATAGGGCAGGAGGAACAAGGTCTTAGCTAGGGGTATGTGTAATGGATGAAGGGTCTGCTAGCTAGAGGTGGTAATGGATGAAAGGGTCTGCTAGCTAGGGTATGGTAATGGATGAAGAGATCTGCTAGTTAGGGTATGGTAATGGATGAAAGGTCTGCTAAGCTAGGAATTATGGTAGTGGTGAAGGTCTGCTAGCTAGGGTATGGTAATGGATGAAGGTCTGCTAGCTAGGGTATTGGTAATGGATGAAAGAGGTCTGCTAGCTAGGGTATGGTAATGGATGAAGAGATCTGCTAGTTGGGGTATGGTAATGGATGAAAGGGTCTGCTAGCTAGGGTATGGTAGTGGTGAAGAGGTCTGCTAGCTAGGGCATGGTGATGGATGAAGAGGTCTGCTAGTAGGGTATGGTAATGGATGAAGGTCTGCTAGCTAGGGTGTGTGATGAAGAGATCTGCTAGTTAGGGTATGGTAATGGATGAAGATCTGCTAGTAGGGTATGGTAATGGATGAAGAGGTCTGCTATGGGGTATAGTAATGGATGAAAGGGTCTGCTAGCTAGGGTATGGTAATGGATGAAGATCTGCTTGGTTAGGGTATGGTGTGGATGAAGAGGTCTGCTAGCTAGGGGGTATGGTAATGGATGAAGAGGTCTGCTGGTTGGGAGTGTGGTAATGGATGAAGGTCTGCTAGCTTGGGGTATGGTGTGGATGAAGGTCTGTAGTTAGGGTATGGTGTGGATGAAGAGGATCTGCTGGCTAGGGTATGGTAATGGATGAAAGGGTCTGCTAGCTGGGGTATGGTAATGGATGAAAGATCTGCTAGTTAGGGTATGGTGTGGATGAAAGAGGTCTGCTAAGCTAGGGTATGGTGTGTGTGGATGAGGGTCTGTTAGCTGGGGTATGGTAATGTGGATGAAGGGTCTGCTAGCTGGGGTGTGGTAATGGATGGGGTCTGCTAGCTGGGGTATGGTAGTGGTGAGGTCTGCTGGCTAGGGGGTGTGGTGTGGATGAGGTCTGCTGGCTGGGGTGTGGTGTTGGATGAAGGTCTGCTGGTTAGGGATGGGATGAAGGGTCTGTAGCTGGGGTGTGGTGGTGGTGAAGAGGTCTTAGCTGGGGTATGGTAATGGATGAAGGGTCTGCTAGCTGGGGTATGAGTAATGGATGAAGGGTCTGCTAGCTAGGGTATGGTAGTGGTGAAGGGTCTGCTAAGCTAAGGCATGGTGTGGATGAAGAGGGTCTGCTAGCTAGGGGTGGTAATGGATGAAGAGATCTGCTAGTTAGGGTATGGTAATGGATGAAAGGAGTCCTGCTAACTAGGAGTATGGTAGTGGTGAAGGAGGTCTGCTAGCTAGGGTATAGTAATGGATGAAAGGTCTACTAGCTAGGGTATGGTAATGGATGAAGGGGTCTGCTAGCTAGGGTATGGTAGTGGGTGAAAGGTCTGCTAGCTAAGGCATGGTAATGGATGAAAGGTCTGCTAGCTAGGGTATAGTAATGGATGAAGAGTTCTACTAGTTGGAGTTGTGGTAATGGATGAAGAGATCTGCTAGGAGACATATAAAAAATGTGTGGCTAAGTAGAAATTCAGAAACGTGAAATGGGTGAGACAGGAGGACTGGTTATAGAAACGGGGGATGGGGAACATATCATCGATCACTGAAAGGTTTTGCAATGGCGGGGTTGGCAGAAGTATGGAGAGGAGTTATATACCATGAGGCAAGAGAGGGAGGGAAGTCTTGCTTTATTGGAGGGTTACAACACAAAAGGTAGCAAATGGTTGACAGGTTAATAAAGATCTTGGGGAAGAGGCTACGAGGCTATGTAATGGGTGGTTGGGCTTGAGATACATATGGTCAGTAAGTCAAACATGGAGGCTGTTTGAAGTTAATGTTAAAGGCAGAATCTCGTTGGGGTGTTGATGGTGAGATGAGATAAAATGAAGAAAGAAAAAGAAGAAGAAAGAGGTGATAAAATGGTAAGTAGAAGAGCTGGTTAAATCAGGTTCATTGCGGCTCTTAGATCTTGGGTTAGGTGAGGTTTGGTTGGGTTAGGGTAGGTTAGGGTGAGTTTGGTTGGGTTGGGTTGGGTTTAGTGAGGTTGGGTGGGGATTTGGGTTTGGGTTGGGACAATAAAACCAAGGCCTGGGACTGGGCTCCTGGGACCCATGAATGGTTTGTGAGAAAATAGAGTGGATCTTGGTCGTATCATAACCTGGATGCACAAAGAAGACTTTCTTGAAACCATTACGAAATCTGTAGAAAAAAGTAGAATTAATAGGAATGAGCGGAATGAGAAAGAGAGAGAGAGAGAGATTAATAGAATGGAATGGAAAAAAGTGGAAAATTGATAGAATGGTGAAAAAAAAAAATGACTTTATAATTAAAAAAGAAATGAGAATGAATGAAATGATTGAGAAAGAGAAGAATGTATGGATAAAGATGTGAAATGAAGTTACAAAAAATATATAAAAATAAATAACGGAGGAAATGAAAGACGGAATGAATGAAAAGAAAGACAGTGAGGGGAGTAGAGGAGAAAGAAAGAAATGAAATGAAAGAACAGAAGACAGAGTGAGTGAAGTGATAAACCGTTCAAGGAAATAGAAGAAATAAAGTGATAAAAAGAAGGAAACAATGGGAAATAAAATAAACAGATAAACATAGACAAATTATAACAAATGATAGAAGAATGGGAGAAAGATGGACTGAAATAACGTAGAAAAGAATGAAATGTTGCATAGATGAATGAAAAGAGATAAAGTATAGAATGAAGGAGAAAGGGGGAGAAATAAGAAAGAATAAACCAGAGAAATGAATAAATAATAAAGGAGTTTTATATGAGAAAACAATAAAATAAAATAATAAGAATAAAAACGAAAGAATGAAAGAAGAAAAGAGTAAATGAGACACAAGCATAAGCTGATAATAAATGAGTATAGAGGACGAATAAATGAAGGAATAAGATGAAATTAGAATAAAACAGAGGGGGAATAAGCCCAGAGATACCAATAATTCTCGGTCAAGCAAAAAGCGTATTAATAAAACACTGGAATGTTTAAATGCATAACACAACCTAAAAGAGATGAACAAAAATAATAATAAGTTAGATACATACAAAAAATATCACGTAAATATTACTGAAAACTTAAATAAAAATCAAAGAACTTAAAAAAAAAAAAAAAAAAAATAATAATAATAATAATAATAATAATAATAATAACAAATCACAAGACATATAAAGCGAATGAGAAGAAACAATGGAAAGCGAGAATAATACACTGCAGAAGCTTAAGACATGCATAACACACAAACAGACATAGAGTGTGTTAATTCAGCCATATACGATGTTCTCTTTAATTACACGAAAACAAAAAAAATTATGTATCATGAGAATAATCTTAGGAAATCAGTAGTCATGTGTATTGAGCCAGAAATGATATTCTTTATAGAGAATATGTCTTTGTTGGGCACTGAGAGACGTGAGAGATGAGAGATTTATGTCTCTTATTGTGAGACATATTCCTCTTACCTCTACACATATACAACTGCATACACACACACACATAACATGAACACACATAACATGAACACACATAACATGAACACACATAATATAAACACACATAACATGAACACACATAACACACATAACATGAACACACATAACATGAACACACATAACATGAACACACATAATATAAACACACATAACATGAACACACATAACATGAACACACATAACATGAACACACATAACATGAACACTTAGGAAACATAACACTAATAATATCAAAGGAACTGTGTTTGGGGGGGGGGTTTAGGAGTGGACAGTTTAACAGTTTATTATTATATATAGAATAAACGTGAGAAGAAATAGTATTTGAAGTACATCAGGGTTTGAAGTCAGGGTACTGTATGTATGAGATATTCTAAGAATAATATGGAGATACAGGTGTGTGTGTATCATTTGTGAAGTGTTGTGTAGGTGTTGTTGTTTTGTGATTGGTATATGTTTGATTGAATTTTGTGATTTTTTTTTTTTTTACTTTGTTCTCGTGAAATTTTTTATAGTCATATTATTTCTGGTATAAGGAATATGATGATATTTTATCACACACACACACACACACACACACACACACACACACACACACACACACACACACACACACACACACACACATAGCTACTAATATCATCGTTTCCTCTTCTTCCACTAATTATCCTATATTTACCTTTCGTCCACATCTTTTAAATCATCCTTCTTCCTTCAACTCCTCTTTATTTTCCTTCTTTCCTTTCTTCCTTCCTTCTTTTCCCTTTCTTCTTTCCTTCTTTCCTTCTTCCTTCCTTCCTTTCTTCCTTCTTTCTTTCTTTCCTTCTTTCCTTTCTTCTTTCCTTCTTTCCTTTCTTCTTTCCTTCTTTCCTTTCTTCTTTCCTTCTTTCCTTTCTTCCTTCCTTCTTTCCTTCCTTCCTTCCTCCATTCTCTTATTTTCTTGTTTCCTGTTTTGTTTGGTTTTGTCAATTTCCCTTTTTTTTCGATATTTTTCCTTTATTTTGTTTCTTTTTCCTGATTTGTCTCTACAATTTCTATTAATTTCCTCATTCTTATTTATCGCTCCGTTTATTTTCCGTCTTTTATTTCCTATTTTCGCTTCTTATTCTGTTTTCATTTGTTTTGTTTTCTCTTGTTTATCCTACATTATTTTTCTCTTCTCTTCTTCTTTATTTTACTTGATTTTCTTATCCATTTTTCATCCATGTTATCCTTTATCCATTATCCTTCTTCTGCTTCCTGCTTCTTCACTTCCTCCTCTTCATCTTCTTCTTCCTCTTCTTATTCCTCCTCCTCCTCTTCTTATCCCTCCTCCTCTTTCTCCTCTTCTTCTTGATGTCATTAACGTTTCAGCACTTCCTTTATCCACATGCTTCCATCTTTTCCTTCTTCTTTCATCCTTTCATTCTTCCTTTGTCGTCTTCTTTCTCTTCCTTTATACCTTCTCAAAGTCTCTCTCTCTCTCTCTCTCTCTCTCTCTCTCCACCCCTCATCCTCCACCCCTCGTCCTCCACCCCTCGTCTTCCACCTCGTCGTCCTCCACCTCGTCCTCCACCCCTCGTCCTCCACCCCTCATCCCCTCCACCCTCATCCTCCCCCTACATCCTCCACCCCTCGTCCTTCCCCTCGTCCTCACCCCCTCATGCTCCACCCCTCATCCTCCCACCTCATCCTCCACCCCTCGTCCTCCACCCCTCATCCTCACCCCTCGTCCTTCACCCCCTCGTCCTCCCACCCCTCAATCCTCCACCCCTCG